TGAACAAGTTTGATAAAGCTCTTGACCTCAAAGGGCTTATACTCTAGGGAGCAGTGACATTTTGCAATTTTTAAAAATGTATAATATTTATTATGATAAAAGAAAGAACTATGAGTGAAATAAACAGAATGATGTCTTACAGAATTCTCAATGGACAATGCACAACATGGAGCTAGAGAAGACTGCTCTCTACAGGAGGCGGTCAGAGAAGGCCTTTGTCTGTCTGTCTGTCTTTCTTTCTTTCTTTCTTTTTTTCTTTCTTCCTCTCTCTGTCTCTCTCTCTCTTACTTTCTTTCTTTTCTGTTGGTCACGGGGCTTGAAGTCAGAACCTAGGCACTGTCCTTCAGCCTTTTTGCTCAAGGCTAGCACTCTACCACTTTAAGCCACAGCTCTACTTCCCACTTTCTGGTAGTTAATGTCCAAGTCTTATGGAATTTCCTCCTCAGGCTGGCTTCCAAAGGTGATCTTCAGATCTCCAACTCCTGAGTAGCTAGGATTACAGCAGCCTTTGTCTTTTGGAGGAGATATTATATGAAGGGAGACCTGAAGGTTGAAAAGGAGTAGGCTTCCTAGAGGGGAAAGAGAAAAGGCAAAAGACCTGAATCAGGAAAGATCTTAATAAGTGTAACCAACGGAGTTGGGGTGAGTGAAACCCACATATGTCAAGCCTGGAGAGAGCGATCAGGAAGTCCTCAGTCTATCTGGGGCAATTAATCATGTTGGAGACAGATTCTCATGGGCTTTTTGGCCCAAGGCTGGCTTCTAGCCTGTGTCATCTAGATCTCAACCCCTGAGTAACTAAAATTATACAGGTGTAAGTCACCAGTGACCAGCTGGCATATACATATACATGACACACAAATAAAGGGAGAAAAACCCTAAAATTGAAATTGTGTCCAGCTATTTCCAATTATTGCATAGCTAATAGCATTACTCTTTTGACAATGATTGCACCTAATATGTACTAAATTTCTCTCGGTGGTAGAAGTCATTCATGCAGATCTGACAAGAAATCTATCTAGCCAGTCACACCAATTACTTTTCATGGAAAGACAACAGCCTATTATTTGAGGCAGTTTATCTTTCTGTTCCTGGCTGACAACCACTTTGTTTTAAAAAGAATGCTTTTTAAAATTCATTTATACATCTTCTATTGAATTACAAATTAGCAGCAACACAATCCTGCTATCTAGTTCTTCATTCAAAATGACTCTCAAGTTTCAACAGAGAGAAAGCCCATGAATAAATGCCTAAAGGGGCAGAAGGTGCTGTGAGCAATGAGGAATGCCAGAAGGAAGAGCTGAGTCTGAACTGTCCGGAAGCTCAGGAGTGGGAATGGGGAGAGGACGGCACTGAGGAGGTGTCTAGCTTGGCTTTCCAGGATATGCCATATACTCAATGTGGCCTGACTTGAAAGTTGACTTGAAAATTAAACTGCTTTTGAGCATAGATATTATCTTGAGGTAGACATTGCTATACACATTGTACATTTGAGGAAATACAGCCAGAAAGACTTAGTAATTTGCCTAAAGTCACATTGCTTGGCAGGGCTAGATATGGACTCGTCATTTGACTGTATAGCTCACTTCAACTACTGTGGAATTAGGGTGTTAGCAACACGGCTCACGTCACCATCATTTCAGCCAAATTCCAGCATTACTCTATCTGAGACTTCACATCCCTCCACCTACTTTCAGCTTTTGAATCGCATCTATTTTTTATAAATTGTATGTATGTATGTATGAATGTATTTATGTGTGTATTTATTTATTTATATGCCAGTATTGAGGTTTGAACTCAGGGCTTGCACAAACTTACTTGGCTTTTTCTGCTCAAGACTAGCACTCTACCATTTGAGCCAAATATCTACTTCTGGCTTTTTTTGTTGATTAAATTGGAGGTAAGAGTCTCATGGACTTTCCTGCCTGGGCTGGCTTCAAACAATGATCCTCAGATCTCAGTCTCCTTGAATAGCTAGGATGATAGGGGAGAGCTACTGGTGTCAGCCTTTATACGATAATTTAAAATATGATGTGCACAATGGAATACTAATAAAGTTTATATATATGCATACATATACATATATATGTATATGAAATTCAAACTATTGGAATGAAAAGGCAAGCTGCATGGAATATGTATGTATTCTCATATCTGTATAAATTAAGGGGATATATATTTGTATATTACCAGTATATTATCTTATATATATTAACCAGGTTCCAAGCCAGAAAAAGATGGGACACTAACAGTTAATGAGAGATTTGTTTACAAAAATGTTGACAGGATTAAAGAAAAACTAACAAAAAACAAAATAGGGAAAGCACTTCAGGGCCACCAAAGGGAGCTGTCACAGGACGGTAACCGTGAGAAGAGCTGTCAGCTTTCCTAGCCTGAGAAGGCCTGGCCAGCAAGACGCTATCAGAACCCAAGTGTTACAAGGGAGGGCAGCCCAGCAGAGTTGGAGGCCTATGGTAGAGAAAAGGAACCATGGATAATTCCATACTCAAGAAGAAAACAGGTTGGGGGAAGATATACCCAGTTTCTCCCTCCCTATCTCTAGGGTGCTGCCTCCTGCCCCATTTCTCCACTGCCCATACCCTCCCTGAAGATATGGGAGGGCTAAAGAGACTGGTGACCTTGCCCACAAGGTCAGCCTCTAGGGCAAGAGCAGAGTAGAGAAAGGTAGAGAGAAGAAAGAGAGGGGTTCATGGGAAAATATTCATATAAATAAGCATAGAGGATACTTGGGAAGATTTATATGAAACTAGTGAGTGATGGACACAAGACTTTTATATGTTCACTTTAGCTTTTAGAGCAACTTTAGATTTATAGAACAATCTAGAAGGTAGTCCAGCATTTTCATATATCCTCTATAGTTTCCCCTCCTACTGACCTATTGAATTTCTATGGCATATTCATCACAACTAAAACCCCAATATTCATACAATATAATTAATGTCCATAGTTCGTTCAGATTTCCTTGTTTCTCCTTAAGGAAATGTGTCTCACACCTAACCCATCCTGGACACCACCTGCAATGTGTTTCTTAGGCTCCTCTTAGCTGTCCCAGTGTCTCAAGCTTCTCTTGGTCTTGATGACACTGATGATTCTGAGAACTGACTTGGTATTTTGTAGGATGCCACTCTAGCAGAATCTACTATTTCTCAAGCTTAGACTGATGTTAGGGCTTTGGGGGTTGAAGATCATAGAGGTTAAGTGCCATTTTCCTCCCCTCTTATCAAGGGTATACCGTGAACAGAACTTCCACTGCTGCACTTGACCTGGTCTAGGTCATGGTAATTAGGTGACTCCACGGTGACTCACCTTCCCCACCTCCCTTTTCATTCTGTACTCTGTGGAAGGAAGTTATTATTTTTGAAAAAATATTATCCCTAAGTCGTTGTACAAAAGGAAGTTATCCTATTCAGCTTGTGCTCAATGTAGGAAGTTATAGTCCACATCATTGTGAGCAGAATAGCTACATAAATTATGTGGATGGTTTTTTTTCATTGAAGATTTTTCTTGTCTCCCTATTTATTCAAGCATTTATTAATTTCATTACAGAGTCATTAATACTTTATAATCTATATATTCTAGTCTAATTATACTTTTTCTAATAGTTCTGGGATTTGAACTCAGGACCCTTGTGCTTCCTTGGCAGGCATGCTACCACTTAAGTCATGCCCTCAGTACTTCTTGCTTTAGTTATTTTTCAGATAAGGTCTCATGGCTTGCCCCAGCCAGTCTGGAAAGCAATCCTTGTAATCTATGGCCTTTGGAGTAGGTGGGATGAGAGGTGTGTTGACACCACATCCAGCTTATTGATTGAGATATGATTTTTAATATCATTTGTTCAGGCTAGCCTCAAATCCTGATCCTTTTGATCTTTATATGCCAAGTAGGTGGGATTATAGGTGTCAACTACCATACCTGACTAGTGCTCTAGTGCTTTTCTCTTCTTTGTTCCTTCTTTTCCTCCCTTTCTCCCTCCCTCCTTCCCTCCCTCCCTCCCTTCCCTCCCTCTCACCCTTTCTTCCTTTTTTCCTTCCTTCCTTCCTTCCTTCCTTCCTTCCTTCCTTCCTTCCTTCCTTCCTTCCTTCCTTCCTATTGTTGTAGCTTTGGCCATTAGGTGCTGTTCTACTTGGCTCCTATGTAACTTTGACATAGCTCCACCAGGTAGGGTACATTTGTGCTCTTTTCTTTTTGTTTGTTTGCGGTGGGGGGGAGTAGCACTTTTTTGCTTTCTGGAACTGCATATGTCTTATATTGTATATTTCCTGCATGTCTTAAAACCAGCCATTTTCCCAAGGAATTCTAATTCCTTTGCTTGATGAATGTTTTGGCTAAGAGATGCACACAGTGCTACTGGGATGTTGCTTCTCTACACTCTTTAAACTGAGAGAACAAAGAAACATCTATATTAGGAAATGATATATATTTATACACATATAACACACCACTATATGTAATCATCTATATCTCTATTAAGCTAAATATAGCAGCATGCTAATGAAGAGACCTTATTTAACAGTACTTTTTGAGTTTATTTTTGTCTACAAGTCAATCAATCATTTAAAAAGAAATCATGTTTGAAATACCATCATAGTAAGGTAAATTGTATCCTCAAACATGTTTTATTGGAATGGCCCACACACATCATAATTCTGTTAGCCAGACTGTTTTAAATATGGTAGAAAAATTAGGTGATTAAAATAAGTTACTCTTTCATAAAGAATGGTCCTTATATGCATTTAACATTTTTATTGTTTTTATAATGGTAATGTGCAGAGGGGTTAAAGAGGCTATTTCTTTCTGGACAATGTCAACCTTTTCTTTGCTGTCTTCCAGTTTTTCTCTCCCATCCCACCCATAAGTTGTACAGTTCATTTTCAACATAGTGAGTACCATTGCTGCATTCTTTTTTTTTTTGGTCCAGTCGTGGGGC